CAAAAGGGATGCTCATGCAGTGAGAATTGTAAGAATTTATCTATTCAATTCTCCTTTCTCTTTTGGATCTATGTATTTGATTCTAGCCTTTTTGTTTGTATTCTTTTATGACATTAGACATTTTCTTGGCTTGTTCATTTGTGATTTTGTATATGGTTTTTTTTTCTCTTGGTCATCTTACCTTCAGAAATTGGCTGTTGGAGGTCTTCCAGAAAAGATACTAACTGCATATCAATCTGTACTTGAGGACAATCAAAACGAGGATACTGCTTTAAACAAGTGTAATGCTGCTGTACAACAGTTGAATAAAATTGGGGAAGGTGTTGAAAGTAGTTTAGCCCAAGGTATCAGTTCTGCTATGGGATTTAATGTTGTATGCTTACATTTCATTAAAATTTTATTCGCTGATAAAAAGAGATGTACTTTGTCTCTTCCTCTCTCTGTATAAATGTGTTTGTGTGTCTCGATTAATGCTAGTTTTGACATAGAGCTGTGCTTAAGAGTTCTAATGAAGCTTTTTTGAGTGTAATCTTTATCAAAATTTATTCACTATTAAAAAGAGATGCTGAAGCTGTAAAAACTAGAAAACAATGTTGAGTAATTATGATTGTGTCTGTCAAATACTTATTATTTTAGATTTATGAAAATAGAAATATATTCATCGGCCCAAAAATTTATCTTGGATTCTAATCCTTGAACAGAGTTTTCTTGGCAGGGTGAATTTTGACATTGTTAAGCTTTCAAACTGAGTTCACCAGTCGGTTGTAAAATATTTTGACAGGAGACTACTTCACATTTTCCTACTCATTGAGTCTATTTTTTTGTTATTTCTTTTTAGTTCCAAATATTGGAACCAGAACATATCCAATCAAGTCTAAGACCCTACGTAGGACCTGTTAGTTTCATAATTTCTCAGGTTGAAATCAGTAGACTGATCCCTTTATGCTGTTCTAAATTATTGACATATAAATATCAAAAGTTAAACAGCATAATTTGGGCTGCTTCTTCTCTTATATAGGTATATTTCTCATCTTGCTGATTGTGCTCTTAACTTCTCTCATATATATCAAAACATTTCCCTCTTTTAAAATGCCAGTGCAGTTAAAACCCTTGAGGCCACTTAAGGCTTCAAGCAGTGGTACTTGGTCCGATTCTAAGTGTTTGCTATTAGTTGTTAGCTTCTTTTGATTTTAAGATATATTGTCCTAGGAGATGTCTGTCACTGGTCCTAGCAGGATTGTATTTGATCATTTGTGGGATTGTGCCTGTGTCTTACCCTGATGGATTGGATAATGGAACATCAAAAGAATTGATGTTTAGTAGTTGAGGTAAGCTTTTCAAGAGTCATATAATTAGCTTTCTAAGGTTGTGACCATTTATTTCTCTCTACACTTTATACTGGTTTATGGTTGCCTTAGTTGAGTATTACAATGCATAATACTCCTGGATTGATCCAAATCAATCCAGCCAATGCACACACACAAAATCAAACTCCTAGAGAAATAACTTACAGGATTTGGGATGTATAATCAAGACCTGGGACGGGTCCGTCTTCTAAAATATGAATAAATTATGCAAATTTTTAATGACTTAGGATAAACACATTGAATCTGCAATGAAGTGGTAAAAGAAATTTGATACTTACCAACTGTTCTTATGATTGATTTTGGTACATGTATTTTAATAGAGAAAGTTTCTCTTTTATCAAATGAACTGTAATTCTCTATTTTTTCTGTTGTTCTAATATGCTTGTAGTGTATTTAGTGTCTCTGGTGCACCTGATCCAGATAGTGCTCCCTCTAATCAATTGATTCTTCAATTAAGAAGTGATGAAGTAGAACATATATTTGAACCTTTTTTTTCTTAGGAATTTTATTTTAAATGTGTGTTTCAAAACAATTTCATGGGATCTTTTGGTTGAGGTTTGTGAACTGCTGACTATTTATTTTGGTAAACTGAACTACTGTTTTATTAAAATAACTTGCTTTTAGTTTGGAGTTACTGTGTGTGTAGCAACTCTAAGTGTAGATATTTGATTTTGGTTAGGGAATCAGAATGGATCCGCGTTGCTGGAAGAGCTACAGCAGCAAGAAATTGCACTCCAGCAATGCATTGAACAACTTGAAAATGTAGAAACGATTAGGGCTACCCTGATTTTTCAACTTAAAGAAGCACTTCAGGAACAGGTATGATTTCATTACTATCATGTGTTCTTGAGTTGGCAATCACAGTTTGGAATCATTTGTCCTTGTTGAGCACTCACTAGTTTAAAGTTTTTCAGGAATCAAAGCTGGAGCTTATTCATAGTCAGCTGCAAGTAAGAATTACTGTCTTCCTAATTAATTTCTTTAGTTGATGTTTTGCAGCTTATGGACTTCGTAAATTCGTATGTTTTTGTCTGTTTAAATCCTTTTAAAAAGAAAAAGTTCTTTTGCAATTGTGACATGTATTTATGTTGGAAGGAATCTCAATATTGACTGGTGTCTTAGTAACAATTGGGAAACATTTTCTGTTGTAAGTTGGGAATGAAACTTAGTAGAAATTCATATCACGCGCACATGATTGATGGAGTTTGGCTTAAGGCATTCTACCTAAAACCAAGTTACATTTGGTGGAGAAGCCCTCTTGAATACAAGGTCCTAGGAAACGCCAAACTTAATTTATGTGAGATTTATCATTCCCTAAGGTTCCATCTGACATGTAGAGACAATTGTTTTATCACAAGGCAACCTTTACATTTAGGGATACTAGGTGTATTATAGTGTTGGATTAACAAATGGGGATAATTTAGCACCACTTGATACCTCGTCTAAATAGTAGAACCAATCGGTCTGTCACATTCCTACGTGAGGATATTGGGTGTAATTGTATCATAGAGTCACTAGGTTGGACCTATACTGATGCTATGCCAATTTGTGGGCATTTGCCTAAAATATATTGGCAATGGAGTTTATATTTCAGACATGAGTATTTGATATCAGAGATCCGTTGTGGTTATCGTTTATTATAGTCATAGTATCCTTATACTGTTTGATTGTCCTTTTGTTTGATGTAAATGCAACTTGTGAAGCATTTGCTACTTTTTCCAAGATGAAGTAGAACTATTGATGTTTCTGCAGGTTGCTCGTGGTCAGATTGAGCAAGCAAGCAATGTAAGGAAGAGGCTAACTTTACCTACCATGCCTGGCCATCTAAGTGCCGCAACTATTTCAACAGCAGAGGGTGCAATAGCGGTGGAACAGAACCTTCCTTCAGCTCAGCCAACTGGCACTCCACCTCATCCTCATCATGCACAACCTGTACTTTCCTTTGCACCTTCAATGACAACTGAAGAAGATAACAAGAAAGCAGCTGCTGCTGCCGTTGCTGCTAAGCTTGCTGCTTCAACATCTTCTGCTCAGATGCTTACCTCTGTGCTTTCGTCCCTTGTTGCAGAAGAAGCTGCTTCTATGAATGGCAGCTTAAAATCTGGTGGATTCACATCAGGATTATCAATGTTTCCTCCAGAAAAGCGTCCCAAACTTGAGAAACCAATGCCTGTATCAGATGCAAGCAACTCAGACGTAAGCAGCACAGCTTATTTTAGCCCACTACAGCAGCAAGCAATGACCAACATGCCACTTGCACCATCAACTAGTGTGCAACCGATGTCCCAAGGCAACCAGATCCAAGCTCCATTTGCTTCTGCTCCTCCTCCCCTGCCCCCTCCTCCTCTATCTCCTGCAAATCCACCAGCAAGTCAATATGTTCAGTCAACTGGAATGATGGTAGGGGTAATGCCTTATGGTTATGGAGCAAACACACTGCCACCTCCACCTCCTCTTCCCCCACATATAGCAATGAGTTTAGCTAGGCCACAATCCCAGCCTCTGCAGCAGCCGCAGTCTCAGTCTTTGCAGCAGCCACAATCCCAGCCTCAGCAGCAGCCAGCCACTGGAGGATTTTACCGGCCACCAGGGATCGGGTTTTATGGGCAAAATCCTCAGTCAACACCACCTGTACCTCGACAGTGAGCTGGTTTTGCTTGAAAAATCATATGATACTACAGGGTCATGAAAAGGGCACCTGGTATTGGATTGTAGGGCAAAGCCATTGACCGATACCACCACCACCACCGTACATCAACATTATAAGCCATAACCTGGAAATCATGAAGGCTGAGAGTGGCCATGTATAATGTAAATTAGTAGAGAATATTTAGGCATATGTTGTCTTAGACTTAAAATCGGAGCTTGACATGCCCTCATCATCCTCTCTCCCTTGACCCATTTGCTCTGCAACTTTTGTTTAGTACGACTACATGATAGCTCAATCATCGTAACCTGTATGTTGATGTGTACCAAAGTAGCCAGAAACTGCCCTTGGGGGCAGTGAAATCCCATGAAAACACCATTTTGGTAGTGTTACGTAACTACTAGAGGCTCTACACAAAGTTTTAATTTTGTCTCATTTTTAATTTATCTCCCACTTCAATTCAATTAGTATCTCTCTCCCTACGGTGTCGTTTGACCTATCGGGGCTGTCTAAAATCTGAACATGATTAGTGTTCGTTTATACTGATAAATCTAAATTCAAAATATGATTAGTGTTTTTAGTACTAATTAATATGGTAGCAAATTTCATTTTCTTCTACAGTAAAATCTGGTATTATTTTTGTTGCAATCAAAATTATTTTTATTTTAGTGGGAATGGCATTTTAGTTTTTTACCCAATTAATGATTGTCATTGAAAATTAAAATTATCATCAAAAACTCAAGTTATGCAAATAATTAACTCTTGAATTATAATTAGTTTTATGACTTCATCTCACTCTAAAATTTTAACTCTTCAATTAATTTTTTAATGGGCATTGAATTGTAGACCCGGGTATCCGGTTCCGGATCAGTTACAGAACTCATTTTACTTTCTTTTTCTTCTTCGGCCCCTAATTTGGCTTAAGCGTTAAGAAATAAGAAGGATTAGTATCTAAACCCTAATTAAATCGGATTTTGGAGTCTCTTTTATATTCTCTGCCCGGCCGAGCTCCAATAATATTATAATAAAATCAATCAATCCAGGTGGGAGAGAAAATATCAGAGACTCAAAATCGCAGAACCTTGTTGTCCATTTTTCTTAATGCTTTCTTAATTGCTAAACAAAACATTCAACTCTTATTACTATTATTTTATTTTGGGGTTTACGAGCTTTGCTTAGCTTCGAGGGTTTCCTCTCATTGCACATTAAGGCTTCCTCCAATTTCGATCTCCACAGCTCTCTTCAGCATTCCGGTCTGTCTTTTTTTTTTTCTCTCTTTTCCATTTTTTTTGCATTTCGGATTTTTTGAATTTATCAAATTGGTTTTTCTCTTTGTTCTGGAAAAATAATGATAATGGGGGGTTTTTCAGCGGGTTTTTGTTTATTTTATTTTATCTTATTAGTTTTCGTTACAAATTTGTACCTAATTTGAACTTTTCAGTGTAGTTTTGTGGCCAAAATTGGATTTTTTTTCATGAATTGTATTTATGGTTGCTTGTTTAACTATTTTTTAGTTTTTTTTTTTAAATTTTGCCTTTTTTTAGCAGTTTTGTATACAAATTTATGGCTAATTTGAAAATTTGAAGAGAATTTTGACACCAACCTTTCTTTTCTTAGTGCTAATTGAATTTCTGGGTACTTGCTTTTTTTTAATCTATTATTATAGGAGTTTGAGGGTATGGATATATTTATTTTTCACGTTGTTGGTTTTTTTATTAAATGTTTTTAGGGTTTAAGAAGTATTGGGTGCAAATTTTAAGCTGTAATTAATGAGGTCGGGTGCCTTGAGAAGGCGGCTACATCATGGGGATGTTGACGGCAGAAGGAATGAGAATTATGAGACATCGGGATTAGATGGTTTAGATGAACCTTTGTTAGGAAATCAGGATTACGATGAGAGACATTCTGAGGTGATTATATCATTGTTTATACTAAATATACTTTTGCATGAACGTGGGAAAGAGTATTGCAAATGTTAAATCTACTTTCTTTGATATGCTATAGGGGCAAAAGCTAGAGGAAATTTGGGATGAAGAGCGAAGGAAGGAACATTTACATTGGGCGTTTTTGTTCTCTAACTTGATCGCGCAATGGGCTCAATGGATAGGTGTGGCGTTTTAGTTTCATTGTTTATAATGCCTATAATTGCAGTTTCAATTGACTTTTGTTCTATTGATTCTTAGGTTGCTGGTTGCTAACTTTGAAAGTTAGAACATGGAGCTGGCTAGTTACTCTGTTGAGTATATTGTTGCACTAGATTGCCATTCGTATAATTTTGGTTATGGTAGAGTCTAGATTTGAGTATATTTATGCTGCTAGGGAAACTTTTAGCATGAGTTTTCTGACTGTTCCCTCAGAGTTTCCATGCATGTGACCAAGACTCACCTGATAAAAAGCACTGTTGCATGGATCCCTATCAATAAATGTAGTTATTAAAAACTAATGCCCCATTACAATCGGTTTTGGTCATTGGTGCTGTTTACTCATCACATGATTTTATAACTTTGCATTATTTGGTAATAATGGAGGATAATTGTGTTTATCGTAGAAAGAGAAGTGTGTACCCGCAAAAGTGAACAGTTATATGAGTAAAGAAATGAAACCAGAATGTTCCGGAATCAATTTATTCTAGTTTTTCCCTTGTTTGGTTCTTCATGTGAACTAAAAATGTTCCTAATTGGTGGCATTTTTTCATGGGATGACATAAGTGTATCCTGAAAGCCATTATCTGAAAAAAATGTTATCAATTCTTTGATTATAAATTTACAAGCTTTAGATAAGAAGTTTGATATACATTGAATTACCTGTTTTCTTGATTACTTGGCTTTCTGCTACAAAAGTAATGCTGTGTGGCTTATTACTTATTAAGTTCTTTGAGTTCTTTGGCATTTCTTGTAAGTGGTGAGAATTTTATTGCAGTTTCGTTTGCTGATAGTTCAATCTTTTCTTTTCTAGCAAACATTGTCCTTGGATCTGGATCATTTATTGCACAGCTTTTACATCTACCTTCTAACATCCAAAATGGACCAAGCCAGAAACTTCTTTTGCCTGCTCTTAGTCCTTTACAGGTAAAATTGGCATTTCTCTTTTTTCAATGTATTTTTCTGGAATTCAGTGAACTTTTTTTTTGGTGGGGTGTTTAACAGAGGCACTGATCTGATAATCAACATATGGTTTTTCCCCCTCTATTTTCATTTTGGTTATCTTTTTCCCTTATGGGCAAGGGAAAAGCATGTGTTTCCTAAGCCTTTTGAAAAGGAAGGTTTTATCAGTTTCTATATTAAGATCTGGAAGCATCTGTGACTCAAAACATCGTGTTTTGAGTATCTATACTAATTCCATAATATTAGATCTAATTATGTGAAAATTGATAAAATGTCATTGCGGCAGAAAGAGAATTTAGTAAGTATCATATGGTTAATCTTTTTATTATTTAATTGGGGAAAGGGGGATTCAAACTTTGTTTTTTAGGCAGAGATCATGTACCAACCAATGAGTCAATTGCTCGAGTGCATTATCTAGTTAATGTTGATTATTGTAAACCTAAATCAACCTTTAGGCCTAATACTTCGAGCCAGCTTGAGAGTTTGCTTTTAGCTATTACATTTTTTTTAAGCACTAGTTACTGCTGCATTGTAGAGGAAATGGCTGGAAAGTTGAGGATGTGCATCAATACAGGTTCTTGACAGATGCTGGATGTAAAAAAAGAAGTAAAGGAAAGCAAGTTCTTCATATTGAGTGGTAGTTGGAGTTTTGAAGTTGATTCCAAGAAGTAATAGAGTTTAGTAGGCAAATTGTCACAATTCTTAAGGTCACGTTTGGTACGAGGAAAGTGGGAGTACATTTTTTGTAATGTGTACAATTAAATTTCATTGCAGTGTTTGTTTTGCAATAAATTATTGCAATGTAAGATTGCAATGCAATTACATTATAACCAAGGATTGTAATGTGATTGTAGTCCAAAACCAATACAATCACATTGCATTGCACTTTGCAATGTTGTTAAAGATATTTTTACCTTTCAATTTTATTACTTTGTTAAAAGCATTTTGTAATGTTATAATTAAAATAAAAAATATCAAAATAAAATATATAATATAAGAATTAAAAATTAAAATAAAATAAAATATAAAAAATTAAAATTTATATAATATAGGTAAAAGAAATTAAAATAAAATATATAATATAAAAAATTATATTAAAAGATAAAAATAAAACATATAATATTATAATAAAAAATAAAGATAAAATATATGACATTAAAAATTTATTTAAGAGATGATATTATATAAAAATTAATAATAAAAAATACAAGTATATTAAACTTGTAATTTAAACAAATAAATGTAATTTTAAAAATTAACATTACATTCTCAGTAAAGTACTTGTAAATCAAAAGTTACAATGTTATCTTTTCTATTTTAATCATTATTTTGTTTGTATGCCAAATGCTGTAATGTTATTTTTCTTACAATCACATTACTTGTAATCTCATTGCATTGTAAAGTATCAAATGCCACCTAAGTGTTTAAGTTATTCAGCTGTTTGTCTTTTAGAAGGGCCACAGATCTTGCTGTCACTGACCATTATGTTTCACTTTTTATTGGTGATCTCTGTTGTCTTGATGTTTCATTTTGTGCCCTTGTAGGAAGAAAGGCTGAGAAATCTACAGCAAAGACTGGGAGTCCCCTTTGATGGATCTCGGCTGGAGCATCAAGTAGGTTTCGCTATTATCATAATGCCTGTGTATTTGTTAATCCTTACTTTTTAACTCTTTTCTACAAATTACAGTGTGCATGATGAAGAATTTGCCAATTTATACTTGGGCTGATGATATATTTTTTATTTTCATTTGACTTGCAGGATGCTCTTAAGCAGTTATGGAGATTGGCTTACCCTAATAGGGAGCTTCCATCTCTTAAGTCAGAGCTTTGGAAGGACATGGGTTGGCAAGGTCCAGACCCTTCAACAGATTTTCGGTATGCAAGATTTTGCCTGAAACTGGTTGTCTTGGTTGGGTTTTCTCTTCCTGATAATATTCTTTTTTATGTTATTTCGATTCTATTTGAAGGGGCGGAGGATTCATATCATTGGAGAATCTCATCTTTTTTGCCAAGCAATATCCAGTTTGTTACCTTTTGCTTACCTTGGATTAAGTTTTATTGTCTATGATAAGGAGCATTTGGGAACTGATCTACCTTTTATAACAAATCATTTCTTGTTTGTTATATTTTATTAATATGTACCAAAAAATTATTATCATCAACATTAATTATAGCAATGGTTAGTCAAACTCTGATTTGGTCTTTATTTTAATAGGAATCTTTCCAGAGGTTGTTGCACAAACAAGATGGAGCCCGAGCTGATTGGGAATATCCATTTGCTGTGGCTGGCATCAATATTTCTTTTATGTTAGTACAGATGTTGGAACTGCAAACAGGTAATGGAAATTCAGAACTGGTTGGATATTGAATGGTGTATGCCCATTGTAGTGCAAGTTCACTTTCAGGGGCTGAGATATGTTACTGGCATTACTTACACAAACGATGGCATTAACACTTCTACTGACTGGAAAAATGTTGTAGTTGTATCTTATGCTGAATAAAGATTCCATTAATTATCTGCTGTCTGTTTGGCTAATTTTGAATTTTAATATTGTAATTATGTTTGCCCTGCAGGAAAACCATCTTCTGTGGCTGGAATCCGATTTTTGGAACTACTTGGGGAAGATGAAATGGCATTCGACAATCTTTATTGTGTGGCCTTTCAGATGATGGATGCCCAATGGCTTGTGAAAAGGGCTTCATACATGCAATTCAATGTAAACTATTCTAACAAGTGATTTTATCCCCGTGTATCTTGATCTTTATATTTGTAAATCTATGATTTTCATTATTTTCGTTGTCATTTCTGCATAGTTCATTTTATTTTGCTTTTTCCAGGATGTTCTGAAGTCTACAAGAACACAGTTAGAGCGTGAGCTTGCACTTGAAGATATCTCGAGTGTGAAAGATTTACCAGCATACAATCTGTTGAGAAGGTAGCTATGGTTTTGGAATCCAAAACAGATGTTTCATCATTTACAGAATTGTTGTCATATATTCTTCCTTGAAAGATCTGTAATAAAGCAACGAAAATTATGTATTCATTATGAAAATCAAGTATAGTTCTTAAATGCAGTGACTACTCTGCTTCTTAGTTACATATTGTTGTAACTTGTGAAGTAGGCTAGATATTTGCATATACCCCATGATGTGAAGACTGAGATTTGTATTCCAAAAATCAAGCTTCAACAAATGGTATTTGTGGGCATTACATGAAATGCTTGTTAGGCCCCACTTCCCCTTCCTCCACCCCAAACCTAGAAAAGATGTTTTCTGGTTATTCCGTCAATCTCTCTTGATCTGGACAGCCATTAGATTCATCTGAAGACCTCAAGAACCACTTATTGAGTCGCTCTGATGCTCGTTTCACCTGAAAGCAAATGGTATTTGTTGATGTTAGATCTGCAGGGCTTTAAGTTCTTAACCAGATTGATGTGTTCGATTTACATAGGCTGAGTTTGGTTCAAGCTGGGCTGTTCTGAATTTTTGCAAATAAACTAACCAAAGCAAGTAAATGTAGTGAGTATATTGTGGGGAGTAATTTTAATATATGTAGGGATTTTCAATCTAATCATATGATAAGAAGTTTACGTGTATTTCTAAAACTATTCACCTGCTCTTCCCAATTAGTCCTCCAGGTAATGTAGCCAAGCACGGTCGTTTGAATCACAACACCAATTATCATCCCAATCCATAAGCCCTATGAAATCCAATGAAGAAAGTAGTTTTAGTGATAAAAAGAATTAAAATGATTTGAACTTAACCCAAGGGATAAGGTGTGATAAAGCTATGGAAGTGAAAGGAAAATATGTATAATGCTTTTATTGAAGGTAAAATAATAAAGAGGATTTGTCACCTTCAATTCCAAATGGGCAATATATCCAAGCACAACTCCCAATGGCACCCCGACGATATAATAGGAACAAATGTTAACATATGCAACTATACTTTGCCTGCCTGCACCTACAGCTCCCCCTGCATCAAAGATTAATATGAGAATGGAACTTTTGGCTCAGTCATGGTATACAAATTGAAATTGTTCTGTTTTTATGCTTTGCCTGATAAGACTGACTGAACACTGTTGAGCAAAACTGAGAAAGAAAGCAGGACAGAGAGGCCCGATACAGTTTCTACTACTTTCTCATCACTTGTGAACACGAAACCGAGTTGATGACCGAATATTAAGCAGAGAGCCCAGAAGAACAGTCCAATACTGATCGAAGTAACTATGATAACTTTCATGGAAAATTTTGCTGCGTTGGCATTTCCATTCCCCAATTCGTTTGATACCCGAACGCTGTAACGTGAAAAATCAGTGATGTATGAGTTTTGAAGGAAACTTGGCTCCCAGCTTGTGCTGCCTACCAGGCAAACATATAAGGGTAGAAGTTATGGAGACTCATTATATAATTAATAAAGCCATACCTTGCTGAAGCAAAGAAGCCAAGGCATAACATAAATTCCCAAGCTATGATGTTCAGACTGCAAAGCAAGTGTAATTAAGACTTTTGGGTTTTAAAATTCTGAATAAAAACATATAAATGCACTTTGTAAATTAAACTAACTGTTACCAGACGGAAAATGCAGAAATTGCAGTTGTAGCATTTTTCATATGCCCTGCCAGAAGGACTAGAACAGCATAATACCATAACTCTAAGCTGCAGCAGATGGAAAATGTTATTGGGGTGTGTTAAAACAGTTGTAAAACAAAAAGATATATATACAATGAGAAAGTTTTGAATCAAGTTAATTTACCAAAGCATCACTGCAGAGGATATGGAGAGCTTTAGAACAGGAAATAGATCAGTAAAGCAAGCAAAAGTGAATCCTTTCCATGTATCAGGACACCAACCACAAAAGATGTAGACAAACTCTCCAATTACCACAAACCAATTTGCTATAATCATTGAACTCATTGCGCCAGGAATCCCCAAATTTAGTTTGGTCACAAAGATCCATGACAAGAGCACATGAAGTACAAACGATATAGCAGAAATCCATCCGATAATCATGTTCTTAAGCTGTGCTTGTAAGTACTTTTGGATGGTTATATTAAAGAGAAAAGCATAGAGGACGGGGATGAACCATACAGAAATATATCCTGCTTGATTCGCTACATCTTCTTCTTCTCCAAGTAATTTGAGGAGTGGTGAAGCAAAGATGAATATTGGCAGCATAACGGTTTGAGCACCAAGGTTAATAATCCATGATCGTTGCAGGTAAATTCCCATCATATGGTATTGCTTTGCTCCAAATGCTTGCCCGCATAGCGTCTCAGGTGCGCTAGACATGCCCAACTACAACATACGGATCAAAAACAAGACAGAATCAGAATACCTTTGGAGTTTCAGACTATAGTTTTCAGGGCCTAATGTTAGAGACAGTAATTCTATAAATCTTACCAAAATTCCATAGGCAAACCGTACTGTAATGATTTGTATGAGGGAATAAGCTGCAAGCTCAACATTGCTAAGATGACCAATAAATGCTTGTGTAACAACAAACATTCCGAATGATGTCAACTTTGTTAGCATTGCAGGAAACGCGATCCTCCATAGCTTCCTCGATTCGGACCACACTCTCCCTTTTAATTCACCACTATTATCTTTCTCTGATCCAAGAAGCCTTTCATCCATGCTCTTGTTTCAGTTCTGTACGAGTAAGCAAAGATGAAGTTTTGGTTCTGTCCAAAGGTTGCTCCCAAGAGATGTACCCACAAGCTTTCCAGTAAGACCCCTCTCTTTCAACTAAAGTTGAACAAACAAAAGATGAAAGAAGAAAAGGGTATAAGAACAACAGACTGAAGCTGTTCAGGTCCCTGACATGACCCAAAAAATGGGAATTCTGTAAACAAACGTGCTGATCCACTTACCTAACGTTGCAATAGGGCACATGAACAGAAATAATCAAGAAGGAAACATTAATTGCATTGGAAAGCCCAAAAAGGAAAAAATCGTTTTACCTTCTAATTGTTTGTTCTTTTTGGTACTAAACACAGTGTCCGCCTGCAATCTGTCCTTGGGAGTAGACTATTAGCTAGGAACAAGTAACGCAATCTACACGTAAAAGAAATTATAAAGGGCAACTGACAACCATGGAAACAAGCGCATAGGCTACGTTTTCTGCCATCCACCTCCGGAAGAGTATCGGATTGCCAAAACTAGAGAAGAGAGAACAAAGAGGTATGCTGCAGGACGATGCAGTGCTGGTTCAGGATACAAAAAATATCTAACATATCTCAGTATTAGCTTAGACAAGTCTGCATGGAACAACTACCAGCTACAGCTGCAACAATTGACTGTTTGTAGAGATAATCTAAAACCTAACAACCTTTGACTTCCTACTCGTATGTAAAAGGATAAAAAAATGATGGTTAATTAGGATACAATTATATAAGGTAATTCCAATGCTAATTGGGCTTGGATTTCTCTTTGAATGAGGTAGTTGAGTTCGATTCATTCTTGTTTTAAGGAGTGTATTTAATTATTGAAGTTGGGATAAATTTAAATTCAAAGTCATTTTGGATACATAAAGTAATGTATACAAAAGATTGTATCGAAGCCAAACCTTAAAATTCCATTAGAGATGCCAAAAGCCAAGGGTCAAAAGGTGGCTAGTGTTATCAAGTGTTTGGACAATCATGACAAAAATAAAGGAATTAAGATGAATTTTATTAATTTTGAGATGTGCAACAAAGTCGATATTTATATATCTTACTTTATTTCCACACATATCTTCTGAAGTTAATATAACATGTGTCCCTTCCTTGCCTGGATATCTTCTGAAGTTGATATTCAATGAATCATTTCCTCCGGCTTTTAATTATGGGTCAAGGGTACAGTAAGGCTTTGGATACTAAATCTTCCTTATTTATCATTGCTTTTTGCAAAAGTGATTATCGTTTGTTATATATATATATATGGACCAAAGCCTTTCAAGAGGGGATCAATCTTACGGTGTTGAATAATCGCTATCTAAACTTAAGGTCAAGAATGATCAAATGTACTTCAAGTCTATCCACATGTGAACAATAATAAGGGATTGCTTTTATAGCAAGAGATATTATTTTATTTATAAATAATATTAATTTATTTATAATAAGAATATTGTTTCATTGTTGTATTTGTTAATGATGAAAATTGCGTGGGAGACACAGCCAAACCAAAGCTTGAGCTCTCAGAGGTACACCAACGAAGATTCATTTATGCATATTGTAGTATACAACTTGAATTAAAAAATTTAAATCGTTGGATTCTTGAATCTTTTAGTACTTTTTGAACTACAAAATTCAACCACATCACCATGATTATCGCATCCAAATCGAACCTTTCACTCTAAACTTAATTTATTGAAAAGATTAAGTTAAATTTTGAGCACATGGTAAGATCTGGTTGACTGAATCTAATATTTTTTGACCAAATCCAACAACAAGGTAATTGGATCTTATGCTTTTTGATTAAATCTAATCGCAAGGTGGTAAAGGTAAATAAAGAGATTTTTTTTTAAAAAAATAAAAATTTAAAAATAAAAAATTATAATTTATAAAACATAATAATTTTTAAATTTAATTAAAATAAAATTATTTAAAAAATATTATTATGTCATTAAATTAATAAAAATATGATTAACAAGGGTAGGGGCTGTTCATGGGCCAGGCCTTTTGAAAGTCAAAGCTTCAGCTTAGCCCCATTCTTTATTTATATCTTAATTTATTATTAAATAATAAAAATATTATGTTTAAATATATTTTAAAACTAAAATTAAACAAAAATATATATATTAGTAAACGTATTTGATATATCATTTTAATTGGACCATTAAAATTTAATACTCTGTTTATATAGGTAATGCATGTCAAATTTAAAACTATTCAAAAATATCTAATTATATAGCCTTTTAAATTATATAAAAAAATTATAACAAATGAAAATATGACGTAATTGCGGTGATTAAATATAAACATTAGCATGGCTTGAAAATTTATATACATGTGACGAAAGTGAATATAATATTAAATTTATTTATAATAGTTAATTTGATGAAATTTTAGATGAATTCTTTAATCATATTAAAAATATTATTGCTTATTGATGCATGG